CCCCCCCCAATTTTTGAATTTCTTCTCCGTATATGATAAATCAAAAGAATGAAGTTTTGAGAGGAATGGGGAACAAGGTAGACGACCCCTGTGTGTCGAATGCAAGAAAAACAAGCTGCAATGGAGGAATCAACCATGAGAAATGGGGATTGGGACGGCAGATGAAGTGGGAAGGGATGACAAATATTTTTTTAAATTTGGTAATATTAGAATTATATAGGTTGGGACCAAAGTGTAATAAGTGAAACTTGAGGGATAAAGATTGAAATTTACCTCTTCACTTTAGAATCTCACTAAAGCACTAATCAAACATGAAGGTCAATCCTACAATAATTAAAACTTGAAGGTCACTTAGTTAATTCAAATTTGAAATGAGGTCACTTCGCCACTACCCTATGTTAGTTTCCAAATCTGATAGGTGCTGTGGTTGAAAAGTTGGAGATGAGGTTAATTAAACTTTATTTAGTTAAGCATTTTTGTTTGTATATTTCTGAAAACACCTTTTAGTGGTGTTGCGGACTGTAGGTTTAATTTAGGCAACAAGATTTAGCCTATTAATAGGTTCAAGGACGAGCTATTTACACATGATATATTGACTTTTTTTCGTACATAAAAACTTTATTTGTACCTACAAACAAATAATTGGACAGCAGGCCCCAATTCTCAGGATACTACAGTAGTACTCCCAATTCAAACTCCTTAATCTTCTCTCTAACTTACTGTCCAGCTACTTCTACAAAATATGTCTTACCCATAATCTAAGTATAACATAGTTCATCTCTGCTTGCTTTGAAAAGCTCTAAAGTTCCTTTCTTGGTCACGCACTCACACTAGTAACTTAACAGTAGTAACTTAATTTTACTCACTATAAGTGTAAAGTCATTAAACTTTACACAGTAAGAAAGTAAGCCACATAATTATTTTTTGTTACACTCAAGTAACTGAACTTCACCTAATGTCACCAAACTCCCTGTCTGTAACATGCCTGCTTACATGTGAAGATTTCGAAATCTAATTTTTGAGCTTTTGAAAACTTGAAAAAGCATAATTCACAAAAAGGTAACTTTTTGACTTCTTTTTTTCCAAACCTCAGAATTCTGAGTTTGCAAAAACTATTTTTCCAAAAACTCAAAGAGCGATGCCTCCTTTGACCTGTGACTGTATTTTGTTTTTTGGCCACCCTCTTATATTGTGACCTTTCAAGATAGCAACGACCCTTTTTTCTCCTTTGAGCCATTTTCTCTTTGTGAGAATCAGTTGATATGATGATAAGTATAAAAAGCTGTAACCCTTTTTCCTTATCATACGTTAGCTGTTTGGAATATCTGAAGGGAATTCGAATTGAGTTAGTCATTATGTGAAGAAGAAGAAGAATAGGAGAATATAATCTGCAAATTCCTTTAATTTTTGACTTCGCCCTCTTATATCTCCTTTTCTCTGTACAGTACGGATACAGTTCGAAATCGAATGTGGACACCATTTGTACAGCATGTCCATGAGATATCTTCAGAAGCTTTCTTTTTCCCACATCAAAAAGTTTTGATGCGAATATCTTTTACTTTGCTAGATACGCTGATTTACGAAGATCTAGTACAAGGGAATAGATTGACTACATGAGAAAAGATTATTTCAAAACTTATGCATGCTTGTTGAAGACGTAATTAAATAATAAAAGTGTCTTTTTAATAGTTTAAGCTTTTAAGTGAGATACTCACACGCTTCAATATAACATCAGAATAGGCAAAGTTTAAACTTTAATTTGATCCTACTTGACTGCGCAGGGACGGATGTAGCTTTTAGCTACGATTTCATCTGAATCCATAACTTTCGACACGAAATATAGATATATCTAAAACACTATTAAATCTCGATAAATATTAGATTTAAACCTATAATTTTAATAGTACAATGAGTTTAATGTTGAGAATCTTAAAAATTGAACCGTTGAATTTAAATCTTGGATCCACCTGTGATTGGGCACGGAGTTAAAAAATGAAGACTTATGAAACTTGTGTTTTAAACATCTCATAATATTTGTGTTGCTATGGCAACTTATTTATATATTAAAGAGCTTAAACTTAAATTAGAAAATAATTCAACTTTAAACTCTTTCATTTTACTTATTTACCCTTAATGAGAAGCTTTTATAGCCACACAAATATAATGGCCCCACAAACTTTTTACTCCTTAAGTTTTTAAGACCACAAGTTTCAAAAGTCTTCTTCTTTTTTCTTAAACTCCGTGCCGAGTCAAACTACCTCATTTAATATGAAACAGAAGGAGTACTTTTTTTCTTTCTAAGGTTTTCCATTTACTTTTTGACCATTAATGGAACAAAATCACCTACTCAACCAAAGGAATACACCATATATTATTTATTACTACAATTGAATATAGTAGGAATATTATATTACAAGTACGGAACTGAAAAATGAAATCCATTTTGTCAATCCAAAGAATTTATGTGGAATAACTTTTCCAGATTGAAAACCATGCCTAGATTGTGCTGCTTAAGATGCCAGGTAGATAAGCCAAGGCATGTGATGATCCATAATGCCTTTGGATATTTACCAACTTGTTCTTTTGTAATACAAAAGAAAACATATATTGTCACTACCCACCTTTAGTCCCTTATATATAGCTTCATTCAAATTCAGATTTCTCACATCAACTCACCCTTCAATATATTTTTCATCACTCTTCTTTTTACAGCTTCCTTAGTTACACTTCGAGATACAAAAGAAGACATATCTTCCTTTCACTCCAAAGTCCAAATCATCAAGAAAACACTAGCAAACCGTTAATTAAGTCAGCTTTTTGAACTTTGAATATGGAAAGAGTGATGAAGTTGGGAGCAGAAAGTCCAGTGGTGATTTTCAGCAAGAGTAGTTGTTGCATCTCTCACAGCATCGAAACCCTAATTCGTAGTTTTGGTGCAAACCCTACAGTTTACGAGCTTGACGAACTTCCGAATGGGAGGGAAATGGAGAAAGCATTGGTTGAATTAGGGTGTAAGCCTAGTGTACCAGCAGTGTTCATTGGGAAAGAATTGGTTGGTGGTTCTAATGAGATCATGAGCCTTAATTTGAGGGGCAATAAGCTCAAGCAACTGCTCATAAGGGCTAACGCAATTTGGGTATAATACTAAATATTACTGTGTGAGTTTAGACAAATAGATAGCTGGCCAGTAATTGAGTATTTAATCAAACTGGCATAGTTGTTGCTAGCTATTTTTCTCACTTTACTACTTGATGTATTTGTGAGCTGAACTTGGATAATAATAATATAAGCATGTTTATGTTTCACTTACTGCTTCTCGTACTTTCTTCTCTTGTCCAGTCAGAGAATTCATGTAGTGGTGTCACTAACTTAATAGTGTACACTTCATACAAAATCAAATATTGTATAACCAAAAGTACAAGTAATGCTAAGAATACTTTCAAGATGCTAAAATTACGTTCAACTTTCATGGTGTTTCAGATTACATATTCATAAAAACTGTAAGAAAATAATAAGTAGACCAAAGCATCTGGCAAGTTTTTTTTTTTTTTAACCAAAAATCCAGGATTGTCCTGGTGTGTTGTATATATGACAGCAAAAAGCAGAGGTAGACTTGGCCATTAACCTCTGAATACAACACTGCATACACGTGAGGCATCTCTAGACAACATGCCTCCATCTTCAAAATACAAAGGAAGATTAACTGATAAAGAAATTAGCTTTGTCGTATCTCAGTCTTATACTCGGCATTTGACATTTATCAAGTTGAAATGGTCCCTTTATCATTTCTGGAAGTTGCTGAAATGTGTGATAGAAGGATCCTTCTTCCAGTATAGTTGCTAACTTAGCCAATCCATCTGCTACCCGGTTCGCTTCTCTGTAGCAGCGAGCAATTTTGATTGTAGCTTGGTTAAAAATCTGTGATGTATCTTCCATAAGAGATCTGAGCTTCATGTTGTTGGTGACTTTGTCTTTGAGCATGTTGGCAACCATTAAAGAGTCAATTTCCAAAGATAGGACATTGTATCCATGTTGCACGCACCATCTTCCTCCACAGTTCACTGCTAGAGCTTCTGGCAAGTGGTAATCCAATTTGGCACGGGAAATCTACGAAAGAGTTGAGTTTCTGTGCGCTATGTGCTTAGAAATTATTTGTACATCGAAAAGGAAGTGAAAGAACCTAGAATATAAGAGTAAGGCTTGAGATAAACATGTATTTCACAATTTTAGGTTCAATAATGGCCCATAGCGAAAAATTCATAAGTTCTATTGAACGAAAACAGACAATATTGTGTGCACGGATCAAGTTATTAGGATTAATTTTTTTAAACTATTTTCTCCTACAAAAATCATATACTTAATGCAGCCTTAAATTGCATGAATATTGATATTGTGACTGCTCGTACATTCTGGGAATTGAATTGCTCAAAATAGTGAGTTTGCTGATAAAACACAAAAGCAGAAGTATAGGCCAAAATGGAAGATCTCTGTTAACTAACAATCATACAAGTGAAGTTACAAGGCCTGCAATATCAATGTTCTAGAGATTAACTTTATTACTTTAGTCGCGAAACTTTACTGTGCTAAACTTTTCTACTTACTATTTCCTTTGTTTGATTGTTTTTTTTTTTTTTTTAATTTGAATTGCTAAATATAAGTCATTAATTAAACTTCTGTTAGCAGCTCGCCTCTTTACTCCAGAACTTTATTTCACTTGAATGATATATCATACTATTTGTAAGCCATTAATTATACTATTTATTTTCATTAAAAGCCTCTACTTCAATTCAGTTCGGATTGTCTGCGATAATAAAGAATGACTCTAGATAACGCCCAACTATGCCTTAAAAATGATTAAGTAGTCACTGCAAATATAATTCGATCTAATTAAGAGTCTGGAGTCGAATCCCACTGAGAACTAAAGTTTAGCTACAATTGCTCACTATTACTAAGAAGACAAGTTCAAACAATTTTCTGAGTTACAAAGATTAAAAATTTTATTTCTGACTACTTAACTGAATATTAAAGCACTAAAGTTATCGACTAAAGATACTAAGGACTCATTTGTTTTTATTAAGATTAAAACATCTAAATCTGAATACATATTTGAATATTAATATGTGTATTGAGATTAAAACGTCTGAAGCTAAATACATATCTGAATATTAAGATGTTATATAAAGATCTGAATAATAAAAATTATTTTTCCTCTACAACTGCAATGTGCAGAACTTGTCTTTATTTAAAAATTAATAAGTATATATTCAAATCAAATAGTACTAATTTAACGACCCGGCCGGTCATTTTGAGAGTTGTAGCCCCGTTCTCCCATTTTTCTGCTTCTTTTGTCTTCTACAGCTTTTATATGACTTATCAGGTTAGTTGGTTAGGGTCCGGAGAGATTTCAGAGTGAACTGAGACACTTATTCTCTTAATTGAAAGCTTAAGTTGAAAAGTTAACTGGATGTCGACTTATGTGTAAGCGACCTCAGATTTGAATTTTGATGATTTCGTTAGCTTTGTTAGGTGATTTTGGACTTAGGAGCATGTCCAGATTGTGATTTGGAGGCCCGTAGTAGAATTAGGCTTGAATTGGCGAAAGTTAGAATTTTGGAAAGTTTGAACGAGGGTGGACTTTTTGACATCGGGGTCGGATTGGATTTTCGGAAGTTGGAGTAGGTTCGTGGTATCATTTATGACTTTTGTGCAAAATTTGAGGTCAATCGGATGTGATTTGATAGGTTTCGGCGTCGTTTGTAGAATTTAGAAATTTCTACGTTCATTAGGCTTGAATCCATGTGCAATTCGTGTTTTTGATGTTATTTGAGGTGATTTGAGGATTCGACTAAGTTCGTATGATATTTTGGGACTTAATGGTATGTTTGGTAGAAGACCCGAGGGCCTCGCGTTGATTTCGGGTGGTTAACGGACTTGGTATTAAATAAGTAAAGCAGTTGAAGTGTTGCTGCTACTGGTGTAACCACACCTGCGGAGTGGGCACCGCAGGTGAGAGCCCGCAGAAGCCAATGAAGCGAGCAAGGAAGAGTTGAGCAGTGGTCGCAGGTGCAAAAAGACTATTCCGCACATGCGATGGTCGCAGAAGCGGGCTGAAGGGCACAAAATGCGGGTTGGATCCGTAGGTGCGATGGATTTCACGCACCTGCAATATGCACAGATACGGTCTGATGCTCGCAGAAGCGAAGGAAGCTGGATAAGTGACTTCCACAGAAGCAAAAATTTAACCGTAGAAGCAGTTCCACAGGTGCGGATAAATGGACGCAGGTGCGAAAAGCCTGGGCAGAAGGTTTAAAAATAAGGGTTCACGATTTTAGTCTCATTTCAACATTTTGAACTCGGACTTAGGCGATTTTTGAGAGGATTTTTTAGGGGATTGTTGAGATAAGCTTATTGTACTCGTTTTTTTTATCATAAACTTGTTTCCCCACTGTTTTTTCCACCTAGATTTGGTGGTGTTGAGGTGAAATTTGGGGGGTTTGAGGCTAAGGATTTGGAGAATGAACTTTGGTTATTTGGATGACCATTTGATATCGGATTTTTATAAATTTGGCATGGTTAGACTCGTGAGTGAATGGGCTTTCAGGTTTTGTGACTTTTGTCGGAGTTCGAGACGTGGGCCTGTGGGATGAGTTTAAGCCGATTTCGGTTTTTTGGCTCTAATTTAGTATTTTTCTTGTGGAATTAATCCCTTTAGCCTATATTAGAGGCAAAGGCATTTTGGAATAGAGTTTTGCCCGGATTGAGGTAAGTAACACTTTCAACCTTGGTTCTGAGAGTTTGAAACCCCAAATTATGTGTTATATGATTGGTATTAAGGTGATGCACATGCCAAGTGACGGGCGTGCGAGCATGCACCGTGAGAATTGTGACCTGGTTGGTTCCATGACACCGTATAGTGATACTATTTTGTTGATATCCGTGTTTTCATCATGTGATAAAGTAATTGAGCTGCCAATCATGATAGATATCATGTTTAGGCTTTATGTTGATACTGTTCGGACCCATAATGGTCTTTTCTTGCTATCACTTTACTGATTCTATTGATATGTCGTACTCAGTCATATACATTCATTTCATATCATATTTCAGTCTCAGTTGTTATTTATTGATTCATCATATTATTGTTTCAGGCTAGTTTTTATGATATTTTGAGCCTGTGAGTGACTGTAGAGATTGATTACTGAGTGACGGTGAGAGCCTGATTATGAGTGACAGTTATGAGATCGGGATGCATGTCGCGGGGTAGGAGCCCTTCCGGAGTCTGTAAACACCCCCAGTGAGTGCGGTTGATATTATTAAGGGATGGATCTTCCCTAGACATGGATCTTGTTCGAAGTACTTGATACCTGAAGATGGATCTTCTCCACATGGCTGGATTAGCCTTCCTCGGTACTGGGTGACTTATGGTCAGTGATGTATATATTCCGGGATGGATCATCCCTGTGTCGTATGGGCCCTATACTGTACCAAGTGGTTGAGCATTGAGAGTGTGAGCACGCGAGGCTGTTAGTATGGTGCATCACATACAGCATGTGCATTGGCATGTAGAAATAGAGAGGTATATCCATTCACTGTTAGATCTGATCTATTTCACTGTTTTGATCTGATCTATTTCACTATTTTGAACTATCTGTTTAATTTGAAAGCATGCTTACATTTATGCACTGTTATTTCCTATTGTTAACAGTACTGGTTGAGATTGGCACTACCTTCAGTCCAAAGGTTGGACTTGTTACTTACTGAGTTGGATGTACTCACGTTACTCCCTGTACCTCATGTGCATATCAAGGTGCTTCTGGTCACGGCGGTGGCTGCTAATTAAGGCATCAGAGTTGGGAGACTATCGAGGTAGTTGCATGGTGTTCGCGGGCCTTGACTCTCCTTCTTTATCTGTAATGAACCGACTGGTCATTTTGAGCAATTGCGTCCGGTTCGGCAATTTGAGGTCATGAGGAGACTCATATTATGTGTATTGACTTGCGTGCATGGTTGAATTTAATTTCCGGATGATTCGGAGTCAAATTGGAAGAAGGAATCTAGTTTTGGAAGCTTTAGCGATGAGAATTTGACCGGAATTTGACTTTTGAGTAAACGACTCCAGAATAAGTTTTGGATGATGTCAGCATCTTTGTATGGTGATTTTGGACTTAGGCGCGCGTTCAGATTTGTATTTGGAGCCCCGTAGGGAAATTTGAGGCATTTCAGCAAAAGTTGGGAAAGTTGAAGTTTGGAAAATGGAGAAGTTTGACCCATAGCTGACTTTTGTGATATCGATGCCGGAATGCAA